CATGATTATCCTTAGACTTCCCCTCTAGTCGAGCAGTGATCTAACAAATGAAGCTGTTTCCTGATTGCCGTCACCTGGTTTCTATTGACATCCCTTTCAAATTCCAGACATTGAACTTGCCTCGACAATGCTAGCTGGTGACATTCGTTTTCGGAGAGCGTGACGTTTGCTACACTTGCTGCTGAATTGAGAATACAATATGGTAATTTATGGCGTTGAATAATGCATTGAGCTCATGCCTAATGAGAGCAATCGTGTTTTTTGTATTGCAGTGTCTCGTGGGTAGTCAGAAAAGGTGCATGGAAGAACAAGTGCGTGCCAGCTGTGAGTATTCATGAAAAAACGAAGTTGCACAGAGAAAGTTTGGCAAATAACGGGGGGGGGAGGGAAAGAGCTGAAAATACTGCCAGAAAAGTATAGATTAGGACTGGGTAAAAGGTTTGAACGAAGCAACTAGAATATTTTGTTGTTTGATTAGGTAANATACTGCCAGAAAAGTATAGATTAGGACTGGGTAAAAGGTTTGAACGAAGCAACTAGAATATTTTGTTGTTTGATTAGGTAATAATATCTGGTTTGTTAAATTCATCTCGCTCTTTATAATCTGCCTATTTCTTACTCACCTACGAAGAACAAAGTCAGAGACGGTTGCGCACTTTGGCAGAATAGGTGATTCATCTGGAATATGAAAATGCTGAAATTCTATACGAAGCGCACAGAAGCGTTCGAATGCCGGAGACCCGAAATATGAAACTTAGTCTCATTGAAGAGATAGAATAATTGGCAATCACACATTCGCTAACTAAATTACCCGTAGCGTGGCAACCGAAAAAAAAACGATGCGACACCGACATTACTCGAATTACTGTTGAGGATTTCTGCAAAGCAACCGAAAAGTTCAACCAGTATACATTTAAACGACTGCGTGAACGGCGTTGTTCCACTTAATAGTGGTCTCTTCTGGGTTAGAGATGTCTTTCGTCACTACTAAACAAACCCTCGATTTAGTGACGGCTGGGTACTCTTTTAGTTAAGTATATAATTTTGCGAACCTGCTGTTTCTGTATTTTATATTCTCTCGTCATTGCGTCCTGATTCAAACGCAATTCTCGTACAACAGACGATGAACTAAAGTACCGTTTTGAACCTAAATGCTCAGTTTTTCCACGAAGTTTCGCTGACTAGAGAGAATGCCATATAACTCCTCCCACTGTCTTCAAATAGATCTGCTGTTCCTGAGTACACACTTGTCCGAATTTTCCGTACTGTTTGGATTGTCATCCCGGGATTTCAGCTCATTTCGAATGCCCTGGCTAACTGATACTGATGTAACGGTGAATACTACTGATGAAGCATGCGAGTAGTGTTTTCCCATAAATCTGCTTCGCGTCACTTGGAAAGTGAGATCTCTTACGGAATTTGCGGAGTCGCTTTGTAGCATCTGAGTAACAGTCAATGAATATCCAGGAAAGTTCAGGAAGATGCGTTCAAGATGGATATTCAGATTGGTGGACGAGATGCATATGAGAGTCTTGCTTCCTCGTCCAATAGTCTGTAACTGCTCAGTTGGTGTTTGTCAAATAAACAACTCCGCAGCGAAGGACTTCTTCCTTTCAGTTTTCACGCATCCATTGATCGAACAAATTCCATCACCTATGGAATCACACCTACGGTTTCAAATTAGAGGAAAATTTCCTCTCTTCTTGATTGTTTGGTGTCTTTTCCACTCGTGAACCATGAGAAGAGTCATTACGTTGTCCATTTCAATACTTGGCACTACTACGTACTCGCCATTCTGTCTAAAAGTTGGGTAATCAGCCAAAGTCCGGGCTCGATAGACTTGATTTTCTTGTGGTGAATTTCTACTAAGCAGACTGGAACTGCGTGTGATCACGAGGCCTGAGTGGCCATTTAACGGCATATTATCCCTCTCTGTAATGAGAAGTACGGGGAGCGGAATGAGAAGGAGGTGCCATACATGTACACTCAGGAAATAGCATGCGAAGTGCTATACTCTATTCCTCCCGGTAATATTCGTCAAAAGCTTTGCAACAACTGAGTGGTGTCTCTTGTCCCATTCCCTTGGTTGGTTCGTTGAACGCCTTAAATTCCACACTTCTTTTCCCCTGTTGTGATTAAGTCGTTTCTTCTTTGCTTTGTGGTTTGAAATTGGTTGATTTAAGAGCCTTCTATTTTTAGTACATCCGATCGGATTGTTCCATTGTACGTCGTCAGCTTGTTTGATTTTCCATATGGATCACAGAGACTGAGAACGTGAGCGTGAGACATGTGGTCAGATGAGTGGGCCAAATGCATGACAAGTTGACAGGCTGGTTGGCCTGTTTTTCAAACATCCTTTACATTGCTACGGAACCAAGCCCTGTCAAACCGACATCTCGTAAACGAGTCTCTTGAACTGTAAGTTCGGGCTTCAACTCCCGTCAATCTGACCTCATTCCCCATAAATATGGTACCGAAGTGCGGAGAGCAGTCTAACACGTGAATAGTGCTGGGCGGGTGTGTTGGTGAGGCTTGCGATGGTCAGTTGCGAAATCCATTGTTTAGAAACCAGTTGACTTACCGCGACGCAGTGGAAACATGACCGCAATAGTGAAACGATATAATGCCAAAACTTGGCAGTATAAATCACGCCAGCCAAACAGTGCGACCGCGCATCCTGAACGAAGTTTGACGTGGGATGGACAACACATGTAAATAAAATGAACACAGCAACAACCAGGCTACCCAAGATCACTTTGACTGAACCGACTACTGCGTCTATGACTGTAGAAGATCTCGACATAAATAACACCCCCCCAAGTAAGCATAGCCTTAAAGTTGGCCACGCCCGAAACAGTCTACAGGTCCAATTCAGGGATGTTGTACAGCCCGGTCATGGGACTTCAGCTACGTCATGAGTAGTGTACTCAATCAATCCAATGACTAATGGTTTATAGTGAAATGAAGTACGGAATGAAACTTTAGGGCAATATAATTCTCAACTGTATGCACAGGTTGGTGTAAAACGAATTGTATGTTGGTTCTAACGCATCTACACAGCGAACGAGTGCAAGTTCTGGCCCACAGAGAAACTTCGATTAGAATATGACCGCCTACGTAGCTAATTCTGCCACATAAGCCATGAGAACGAGCAAGGTGGATATCCGTTTGGTTTTGTGCTTGAAAAGCAGACGGACAGTCGTGATAAGGAAAAAGCGAGTAGTGTGTTCTTCCCCCAGAACTGATCACTCCTATTCTGCAAATTAGTCATATTCAGTTCCATTAAATTCCTGCAATCCGTTGATACCCCGTTTAACTCAGTTGCTCCCAACTGGGCGTCGGGTTCGGAATTTCGTTTCATTATCTAGTCAGGTGGCTTGTTTCGCTTCCAATTTTCAATTTAAAAACAAACTGGAGCTGTAACGAGTGAAATACTAATAAGGCCATCCTAAAAAGACACTGAAAATCAACAGCTAGCTGAGAAGTGGAAGCATATATATATTTGAAGACCAGTGCAAGACGTCCGCAACTGTCTTGCGCCATGCTGTCAATAATATCAACTTGAAATCTACCTTGTTCGCAAAGTACAGCACCCTCATTCATTCAGTATTACACAATACGTCGTCTCTGAAACAATTTCATCTTTCATTAACACCCAACGCTTTTTTATTAAGTTAAAAAGGGAGCATCAAATCAGCCTAACGAGCACTCGCATTGTAATGAAGCGAATGGGACGAGTTTATCAAAGGGACCAAATACATTGAGGGAGCTGTATTCCGGAATTTCACGTACCGATTAGGGATATGGGGTAGCGAAAAGCTGTTGGTGTGCATCGTTACTTTTAGTTTACCACTATTTAACGCCGCTGCCCAACTTTTCACTTGCTCTCAAGCAATCACACAACCACCGCAGTAGCTCCAATCCTTTTAGCTTTCCGACGTCAGTCGACCTCAAAACGAACTATTATATCATTGCACTCGTAGGTCCAGATGTGATTTTTTCGCCTCCAGTCACTGTACTCGTCCCTATGAAGTTCAACATTAAAGACTCGTTAGGTGGTGGCTCCGAAGTTCTTAAACCTCTAGATTCTACGACTACTTTAAATTGAAGGCACTTGCCAATCTGCTGGATGCTTTCCTTCCCAGCTGACTTGCTCCTACACCCTTTTATTGAAGCGTGTATGAAATGAGGATCAAACGACGGGGAAGTCGCTTTTGAGCATATCATTTGTCCTGCAAATTCATTTATACATGCACTGATACTAGCCGTGTTTCCACACGTAGGTAGTGACCAGCCACGTGCTGTTCGACTTCAACTAACTGCAGCTTGGTACAGTCGCCCCTTCGATATAGCTCAAATGCTACTGATTAAATTCTGGCTGGGTGAACACCACTCATCGCGCGATTGTGAATTCCAACGGGGACCCCAAACAGGGACGGGAAAGAGGATACAGTGACTTAGCAGGAAGATTGCAAAATATCTGTTCCGTGTATGTGTTTGAACAGAAACTCGAAAGTGGACTGACGAAAATTAACTTTTCAATAACACTCACGACGCGGACCTAAATGAATGTGCGAAGCACTTCGTTTCTGCGGAACTGAAACAAATCCAGGGGAACGGTCGTCAGTCCTCCAAAGAGAGGACAATACAGAGGAGGGGACATCTAGTTTCCAGTAAGAGGGAGTCAAAATCAAATTATGGCTTCCCCACGGAACAGGCTTCCTTTCGAAGGATCTATCTTAAGGAAACGTCGTACTATATAGAACGCACGGTACTCGGGTCATATAGATGGTGGTGGAATTGTTCATTGAGTTTGTTAGTTTTGCTGCAAACGTTCCATCATTACCAATTGAAGTGACAACATCAATGCGTTGGTACTTATGCACAACCGCCAAAAGACTAACAAATGGACTTATTTTACACGCTTCTTGTAACAAAATAGGCCTATGAAGATTTTGGAACCGGAGGTCACAGCATAAGTATGAAAAATACATGATAAACGCCACTTGTATTTTCTGGAGAAAATAGGTCAGGTCAAAGTGCAACATCAAGTGCTTGTATCAGCGCCTGAAGTTTCCGTAAGTTCGGTATGCAAAGAAGAAAGGGGTATAACCGAGAGAAGTGGGCCAACAGCGTCATCATCGAGCGGTTTTGGCGGGTTAGGAGCTATGGTCTCGCATAATTTGCGCACCTTTTGGGCCAATACTGGTAGGTGTGGGAGTTTGAAATGAATCTGGGACCATGACCGCTTTCGAATACTGAAGGCTTGAACTACTTCGGGGCTAAAACAAACGAAATGGAGGGTGCGATGAATTCAGGTATAGTTGGTAGCAAGACGGAAGCAAAATGACACCAAGTCAGAAAACATCGGGGTGAAGGGCGAATTTTTCGTCGAATCAATAGGTTAAACACAAGGATGAAACCCTCCGATTCGGATTTTGTTTCAGTTTGAAAGAGGGAACACTCGCCAATCGTACCACCAAAAGCTTCTCTCCTCGGCACCTACCCATGAACAGTCGAAATATGTAACAGGTCCTTCTTTGGTGTGTCGAATCATGGTTTCTCACGGTTCATAAATCCGACGACTTTCTCAACGATCTGCTGTTGTTCGGACAAATTGCGTATGCATTTTCAGCAAACTGGTACTCTATTACCTGAGAAAATGTTTTTTTCACTGGGTTAGGCAATCCAGTTTGGAGTATATCACCGTGGGGCGAGATAGCTCAAGTGGTTAGAGCGCAAATTTACGGACTGGAAGGTCCGTGGTTCGAACCCGACCTCTGCCTCTCGACTTCCCCTGTCTAGGCTTGGGAATCCTGGCAGTACCCCAACCCTCGTGCTTCTTCCGGGTAGCATGGCAGCTAGGCACCGGGTGTTACAGCTGAGAGATATCACCATGAATTAAGTTGACATTATCAGCGTGGTGATGTCCGCAAGTCTGCGAGAATAACGGACTGCACCTTGTGCGCGTTCTTTCGTAACACTCGTTCCAGCAGTGCACATTCGTCTGCAAGCGGCCCAAATACACTTACACAGGTAAGATGAGCTGTTCACATGTAACACTTCCCTCGCTCTCCAGCAACAACGACTTCTCGATCGGTTCCACTCAGTTCCTAATTGACTGAATAATACATTCTCCAGTTGATCGTGGAATAGCCAACATACGTAGAGTGCACTCGAGAAGATCAATCAGGGTGGACAAATGACGTGTGGGGGAGATCCAAAGAATACGTAGGAAAATCACCACGTAGTATCAAAGACCCTCCACAAACATAAAAAGGAAGTAGGCATACCTAGTCACACAGATTGCCTTCTCCGTTTGTCGTGCAGCCGTATACCACAGGGTGTCAGTTCATTCATTCCTCAGTCTCTTATCTTCCTTAGGCTTATGCTATCCAGTGACATTAAAATGGGTAGGATCAGTGCAGTTCCCTGTTGACATCACCCGACAACAGCAACAACTGAAAACTCAGTGGCCAAAAGCCTGAAGACGCCACACATCATTTGTGCACAGAAGCTATGTCATGCAACCATTCAGCAATATAGCCCTTTCTGCAGCCGGAATCCACACAAGTGTACCAAAAAGAGCAACAGTCAGCTGTTGATCCGTGTCAACGGTAACTGGCGGTGGTGTGACCAATGGGGATTTGTAGCTGGCACGATGCTGGAGGACACCATGTGCCAGACGACCTCGGTTATTTCGGAAGTTAGCACTACATAAAAACAGCCCGCGATCAGCAAATAGCTGAAGTAACCGTTCACCAATGTCCGTACGTACCGAGTCCAGTCCATGTCGACCACCTAAGTGAGTCTCAGATGCGCCCTTCTCTACGTTCAGGCCTTCAGCAACCACAACGATATCTGAGTTTCTAGCTCGCCGCAACAGGGTATTCAAGGCGTCAAAAAACTGGTTTTCGATGGCGTCAGAGTTACGGTCAGTTGGGGCGCAAGCAGACAACACCGATAGCGATCAACTTCCCGTTCGCGAGACTCCTTCACGGACGTTGCCAAACGAACCGCACAGAGGCGACTATCAGCCGGTATCCAGTTAAGCAAGTATTCTTCCGCCCGATGATTGAGGACGACACCAAACCATGCACTTCTGGATCGCCAGCAGTGCACAGCCGGAGGCGATTAAAGAGTGACCAAGCAGTTAGCTCAATCACTGTGCTTGTATTCTGAATTATCGTTTCTGGTATACAGCACACATCAATGTCAAACGAGTCCAGTGTGAGGGCAAGTACAGCTCGGTGCCTTGCTTGCTTCAGAGAGCAAGCATTAAAAACAGCTAGACAAACTGGGCGAAGAAATCAAATCATTCCGCTGTAGCACCCTTTCGGTGCCTAGCTGCCATGCGAACGTAAGGAGGCACGATGGCTGGAATACTGCTAGTTTGTTCAAGCCTAGATAGAATCAGTCGAGATCCTGAGGCTGGGTTCGGTCCGTAAGCTGGCGTCCTAGACACTGAGCTATCTCGAGCCCAAACAAATTGAATATCGAGGCTCGATAGTTTGGAGCTGCTTGAGGACCTAAGCATCGAGTGTTGCTGCCAAAACGGGTGCAGGACGAGGAGTCACCAGTCACAACTGATGGACCCACAAGGAGAGAGCTATTAGTAAGATGGGGACAGGGGAAAGAAAAGTGTATCAAAGAGAAAGAGAGGTGTCAGCAGTAGCCTGTTTTCGCTCACCCGTCCTGCTGTACGCAGCAAGGCGATCCAGCTGATGCCACCATATGAGGACCAAAGTGGCATGAGATCATTTGTTCTTGGTTTTACGGGGATTGAATAGTGCCAAGCGACCCAGTGCCAGATGGGAGAACAATTAGGATAATCAACAAACATCTGGCTCAAAACCCTGACCACAGGGCAACAGGTTTGGCGGAGAATGCAAGTGCATTAGCATTCTTATAAAACAAGTCGCCACACACATTCTAACCGCCAACCTGGAGGACTAAGAGGCTGTGTTAGCCAGACCCCCAGCCACTGACTAACCTAGTATGAGACTGCGTGTTTCGCACGGGCATCTCAGCACAATGGGTTGCGGAGGCACACAAGCCGTCACACCACAGTAAGGTCCAGTTCGTTGGTGACGAAGTGCAGCAGAATGGACAATAAACACTGGTTAATGGTAAGGTTTCTTTTTTGAAAATTAAAGCTTATCAGGCGAACGGTCAAACTTTCCCCGGGACCGATTCAGAACAAAGTGGTAACCGGCGGGTTGGTTTTGTCCCGGTGTTATCCGACAGAACCAGGTGTGAAGACCAAAGTGAAATACCGTAACGATCACGTGTTATCACGTTCGTTCGACTGAACCAGTTGAAGTGAGCAGACAGCTGAGGTCGGTCACGCATATCAGAAGCACTGCAGTCGACAAACAATGGAGGGATTGATATTCCGAGCAGTTTGGTGATCAGACGAATACAGATGAATTTCCGGACATGGGTGGTATGTACGAGAAAGAGCGCAGTAGAAATATGAGGTTGCACATTCGATCAGCGCGTGCAGCCTAGATAATGGATGGAGCCCAGACACAAACAATACCAAGGGTCATGTGCCAGCCGGATAAAAAAAATAGAAAGAACGGGGTCAACAGAGGTGAGACAAATGTGTTTTCGAAGTCTAGTGCCAGAAGCTGTTACAAGCATTCGTGATGACGGTTCTGAAGTTCAGTCCAGATAGTATAAAAAAACCACTTCAGACTTCCAGGTACCCGTGTACTTTGTGCGAGGGACAAACCGATGGTGAAACCCAGAAAAGCCATACTCGAAATTTTACGAGTTGCTGAGTTTTCGGGCACGGAAATGCCCAAAAAATTGGCAAAGTTGAGAAAAGATGTCAGGGACCTAATAATAATGAGCATGTCATAATGTTTGCGTATTCGAGTGTTATCTAGGTTCCCAAAGAAACGGCGGACATAAATATAAACTAGTCCACCACTTAAGAGCGAAAGCACGAACGACGCGAAATGTAAACTACACCGTGGACTGCACTGTGGGCTACAGTGGAGGTGAGCGAACTTCTTGGTTAGAGCGCGAATTTCATAACCGGAAGATCCGTGGTTCGAACCCGACCTCTGCCACTCGACTTCCTCGTGTCTAGGATTGGTGAAACCTGGCAGTATCCCAGCCCTCGTGCTTCCTCCGGGTGGCATGGCAGCTAGGCACCGAAAGGGTGTTACAGCTGAACGACTTCGCTCACCGAACGCGGTGCTTCATGTCATACTTGCTCAATTGTTTTTCAAGTTCATTTACATTGTGGATTAACAGCTGATATTCGTCAGCACTATTGGAATTCTGTCTGTGTGAGGGATATATAACCCAGGTGCCTAACTAGTTTGGTGTGGAGAAGTCCACTTCATTCAAGTAAGCTTGACGCGCACAGGCCCCTAGGGAACATGTACGTGAATTAGAACCTACTGCCCAAACAGAGGGCTTTTTAAACTAACGCATAGTTATACAAAGGGAAGTAATCATTTATTCTCTTACTGACCTTTGTTTTCCAACTGCTTGCACACTACGTCTCAACAATTTCCACGGTTCATTAAATACCGCCCAGGAAGGATGATCCAGCAATGCGAACGATAATTCCAAGGCATCGGTGGAGAGACCTGGGAAAAAACAGAGAATTCGTGCACCCACCGTCACGCAAATCGACAGTTGTACAAAGTTGACAGATGATATACACGCCTCAGCGACTCAGAAGCGAGGTACTGTTCCAATACTTACCGTGTTTCAGACAAAGGTTGATTGTTGATACGTGGGGATGTTGTGCTCGCAACAATCGCTTTTCATCAGCAGCCGACAGGACCTCGTGGCGTGAGACCGAGGGTGCTGGTTCAGGAAGTACATGCCTGGAGAATCTGATCCGATATCGTAACAGGCGAGCAGTGATTTTCGGACAGGGAGTTATCGGTGATGGTGTCGGAATGCTCGTATCACCGTCTGTTGTCGTAGCTTCGGTTCGACTATCTGCGGTTACGTTGAGGGTTAACGAGGATACGTCAGATTCCCGACTCCGGCGCCGATACCACTCACACAAGTAACGAAGGGCATTGGGGTTCTCTGGGATACGGCGGGCGTAGCTTAACAGAAGGCTGCGTGCGCGTAATGGTTCATTGAAATACTCGAGGATCTGAAACAAAAACGGAAAATTCAAATATATTCTACATGGTCTAGGAACAATGTTTCCGGACCCTGTGTATGTAGGTGGGAAACAGACACTGCACTTTACTTAACTACAATGGAGATCTGTCACGCCAGGCATACTATTGTACCATGATCCTTGAGAGTACAAAGGTGCGTCCAACCTAGGCCTCAATCCATTAGCTCATTCTGAGTTGCGGTGCGTGCTGTCGTAGTACTGCTGGAGTGCGCTCCCCCATTTATGGTTCTCTTGTAACAAATCCAGTATGAGACAGAGCGAAATGGACCAGCACATATTGTAAGGCGCGAAGGCTGTGCCCATGTATGAATCTAGGATAGTTGGCTAGGGGATTTGGCAGCTCCGTGGTTGAAGTGGGTCGATAACCCTCGGGTGTTCAAGCTAATTTTCTGCTCGTTGTTGTTTCCTTCGCACCACCAGACCCCAGGAAGTGTTGTGAGCGTCCATTTCTTGAAGCCAGCACGGCTACCGACTTACGACCCATTTAAAAATACAGAATTTTCGGAGTTTGGTTAAGTCCCACACACAGCCTACCTTATCAGGTTTCCCGCGCCATAAATGCAACGTCGGCCGAAAGGATCGGCAGACAAGGCCCCAGCAGTCGATCATTTGAATCGCCTTTAAAACCTTGATCGTTCATGTCTCAGTGCCACTACCGTAATGAGCTGACTTGCTATGAAGAATTCGCAATGATATGGTTACCAACAGAGCGTTTGGTGATGTGACTGACAATGGAGTTCAGGTATGAAGCTAAACATCAAGTTAGCCGGTGGCTTTTTCAACTGCTACATATGCCGAGTATTGTGTTCGCCATACCGAATCCAGATGAACGCGAACCGAGATGTGCGGCTGCCGCTAACACACCAATAATGAAACAGTAGTGGAAACTAGTGCTTAACTGCCAGGGGAAAAGAATGTCCTAGTAAAGGATTGAAAGGGAGAAGGGATGGATACTTATTGTAAAACACCCTATTTGTCTAGAGAAACAATTTCCGGGAGCGAAATGCCTACAGCCTTCAAACACATCTGAGCTTCATGTCGGAGCAAGAAGCCATCAGCGGGATCAGCCCAATGTCCCTTGCGAGTCTCGCAAGCCCGGCTTACCAAGACAGGTAAACGTTAGCTATGCGGTCCAGCTGAGAAGTGACAACAAGCTAGCCACTGGGATCGGCTATGCAGACTTTCTGGACCTGTACTCAGGAAGCTGCGAAGACCCCACAGCGCTCAGCTTGACAGTACCCGCTGCCAGATCACGGCTTGCCCTATTCGTCAAAATGGGTCTGAAGTGTAAACGGTGATCGGGACCCAGCAATTTTAATCCCATAAGCATTATTTACTACCCAAGCGAATCCGACCCACTACTTCGTACTCGTTTACGAACTATTTGATTACATACAGGATAGAAGATGCAAGCAACATACGACTTGACAGAAGAGAATGAAAAAGGTTACGTAGGGGGTGGGTGGTGTATGCGATCCGCCTTAGAGGATAGGATTAATGTGACACTTCTGTATTTGACTACGGAGGGTGTAATATCCGGCAGTAAACCGGAGTCAGTATCGTTCCTGTTGCCAGTTTATAACCGGAAAGTTGACGATGTTGAAGATGTAGACCCCGAATGCTTGTCGTATGCCATCACTCGCCCCCTTTGCGCTTTCATTTTCGTCTCTTACATACCAGGGGGCACGCAGGCACATAGTATTGAATCGAAACCGCTGGAGAAAAATAACGCTCATCGTACGCCCAGTCAGTGTTGCGGTTGTTTTCGGAAAAGTTTGGTAATGATCGGTAGATTTATTGCTGGGCAACGTTTCGTTTTTGGCACAAAAGCTTCGTCAGGTCAAGCGAATAGGTTACGAGTTTGGTCGAGATTTTAGGAGGAAGGGGAACCAATCAGCTAAGTCAAGCTAGATCTCTGTTGGGTGTCCACCGAGAGATTTTGTTGGCGAAAGGTCACGCTATCACAAAATAACGTGGAATAAGTCAAAATAAGTGCTAAGAGATTTTCGTTCTTGTCGAGCTGGATGCGAAGCGATTTCAAAACTAAATACGGTATGCGGCTTAGCTGAATCCGGCGACAGGAATGTGTTACCCCATAGCCAGAAGACCTGGCTATGGTGTGAGTTGGGTTTACATGGGGTGAAGTTCGAAGACGACGCTAGTCGCCCCCGTTATGACCTATTCCCTCGAATTGATGGTCGAACGTTTATTACGATGTGGTCCAAATATGCCCCCAGAACTATGGAATTTTTGCAACAAAACCTCACGCCTTTGCTTGTGGTTACAGGGCAGGTAAGCTCTAGTATTTATCACTAATGTAGCGCTGTTAACGAAGACAACACGCTAAGGTTTTCTTCAACTGAACGGACCTGACTGTACAGCACTAGAGTACCAAGATGGAATGATATCTTCAGAGGTAGGCCCTGGAAACATTGGGATATCACAATTTGGAAGTAACGTGTGACGTCAACCCCTTCTTGTTCAAGGTTTGCACGCGATTCAGCACAAAGGGAATTTCAGGGATGTTGTACACAGCTGGGAACATAAGTATATTCGTAAACCATTTTTTCTAATCTCGTAATTGCACTGATAACTGAATCAGTTGTCACTTTACACAAAGTCTGTAATTCTAAGAACCATGCTTGATCCGTTCGAAAGAAACAACAAAACGTGTAATCAACAGCCAGTACATATCCTTTGGTCCAGTGTATGGTTGGCCACTGAACATGGAAAATAAATCACATGGCCTGACGCAGCTCTGTGTCAAAATGCACCTCAGTGTTCAAAACCTGCCAGTATCGTTTACGCTTAATGGCATAGATCAATACAGACTAGTGGACGGTCAACAAAAGACCAAACTCGGCTAGCCCGAGGTCACGGAACTCACCTCAACCAGTGGTCGGATGAAGATGTCGCATAAGTAACCACCGGATACCAATGCCTCAACTTCCTGCAATCGATAGAATGCCTTATCCGCCAAATCATCGGTGGTCGAAGGCTCTCCTGTGTCGTCAGCTACAAACAAAAGACGGAATATAGAACGTAAAGGTGTAATAGATACTGCTATGGGAAGATATGCGACCATAGAGAATCTGTTCTCGAAAGGAAAATTGATACCGCATGGGGCAACAAATGACGTGGCGTCAAAGAGTAAGGAAAATTCGCATGAGGCAACAAATGACGTGGCGTCAAAGAGTAGGTTCATCATCATCATCATCATCGACAGCATGACATCAATGTTCTGTTCTCGAAAATTGATACCGCATGGGGCAACAAATGACGTGGCGTCAAAGAGTAGGTTCATCATCATCATCATCGACAGCATGACATGACATCCAATGTTCAACACCGATGCTTCACTGCCGTACAACCATGACTTATTTGAAGGCCTTATTGTAAAGAAAAGAGTAAAGGTGGACGGGGGAGGGACTTAGTGCTAGCTTAACACAATCATTCCGAGGTGCCTACACCTCCAGACATTCACTCAGGCA